GTATGGATGCCTTTTGGAATGAGCCGATCCTGGTAGATTCTGCCAGAAGCCTGCAACTCTCCTTCAGCAGGCCAAATGTTCAGTACATGTTTGGAAAAACATGATGAGATGCCAAAGGCAGGATCTGGCAGTGAGCAGGGAAGTAGCACATGAATTTTCAAGGAGAGGATCACTATCTTGATACATTGTCTCTGAACCAGTATCAGTAAATGAGCCATCAGTTAGCATCAGTTCGATTCGACCAGGAGTTAGATGCTAATGATCACAGGACAGAGCAGAGGTATATTTGAAAAAAATCAAGGTTCAGGAGATGATAGTTTTCCTTAGGTGCAGAAATAAAATAAGATACCAAGATTCTAAAATGTGGTATGGGACAAATACAATAAACGAAGTGGCTGTGATATTAACGGAGACTTTAATCTGGCTGAAGACTCTCAGAAGGAAACAAACTCTCGAAATTCATACCTCTGTTGTAGTCGGTAACCACTAGCTCACACCTATTCAAACAGATATTAAATCTATTCGAACCCCAGTTTATGAACAACAAAAGGGACATAGTGACATCGGTTCAAACTAAGCGTTAAATTGGTAAAAGGTGGTGAATGCCCACCATCCAATGCAAACAATGAGATTGACATTAGTACCGTGTTTAGAACAGTTTAGGGATCAGAAGAACAATCCCTTTAATGCGAGTAAACTCTTAGACAAACACTAGAAATAGGTAATGCTGCCTATAGACTACACGAACAAAATTAGGGACTATTGAAGTTACCTCCGATGGCCTGAGTCTCCTGTAGGAGAAAGTACGATTTATATTTCAGGAAATGAAGGAAATAAGTTTGAGCTATTCAAAGCTTTTGTGGTGTACAATATTCTAAGAACATCGTGCGAACGTAGTGAAGATAGGGAGAGAAGGTAGGTATTGTGAATTTTTGGAATTTTGGAAGTCGTTCGGTAGGCAAACGAGTTTTGATAAAGAGTTGTTTGACACATCTCGAGGTTGATGACAAGAGGATGTGCTGATTGGGCTTGTCGAGTTCGTCTGACTGGTATTGCTATAGTGATGGTGAGATATCTGGAGTACAATTCCCGTGGATGTATCCATGGAAAAATGGAAGGCAGCCGACATTTCAAAAGTGTTTCAATGATGCCAAGGCCATAACTAGAGATTCATCATCGTTCTTCACAATATCTTGATATATACGGGTAACCATATGTACATTTTCATATGATTCCTATGGAGTCTTTTAAAAAACATCTGAACAGCATTTTTGCGAACGTTATGATTATTTACTCGGAAACGGTCGTGAGTTTCTAGATTTTTCATTCAAATCGAGATCTCTCGAGGCTGAAAACGAAAAAAATTAAGACAATTCTGTTAATTTGGAATGATGTGATTTTTTGCATATAGAGGTTCGGAAGCATAACGAACAATAATAGTTATTGAAGTTAGTTTTCTTACAAAAAAATCCCAATATGCTTTCATAAAATTCGACCCCATTTTGAGTTGATAAAAAGCACTGCACTGTCCAATAGGTTGTTCGTCTCTGAAAAACTACTCATATTGATATGGTTATTCATACCACTCCAAATTTGGTACGAATTGCAAAACTAATGACTGAGATATATAGGGTGGACCGTTTGAAATGGGACACGCTGTTGATGTTGAATATTTCCTCATGAAACTTGGTACAGATCTATTTCAGAGGATGCCAATTTCAGTGGTGTACGTGGATTTCTTCTAAAAAAATCGCTAATATGGATTCAGCCTCTGAATGTGACAAGCCTATGTATTTTTCAAAAAAATGTGTGTATTCAAATCAAATTCATTCCATACCTATATGTATACAGTGAGGACCAAAAGTCCGTCGCCCACCTCGTACCTAACTTTCTCATTTTATGTATTACAAAAATGTTAAATGCATGATTTGTATATATAGGATTTCATTCGATATATTCAAGGACGGTGGCAGACTTTTGGTCCACACGTATAACTGTTTTTCATACGGTAAGAACGATTTAGCTTCTAACTTTTTTCACCCAGTACTTTTCCATTCTCGAAATAATATCCTCGAATGTTTATAGTACGTGTGATTTAGTCGGGATTTGGGATATATGCGCAGATGTGCTTTTGTTGTTCCTTATGCAAACAAATCGGCATCAGACCCTATACTCGAGAAAGATTTAGTACTTTGTATACGAGAGTTATGCGGTGAAATAACAGAAAGTTTTGGTTGAAATTGGAATACGATGGAAAAATTGCGGATCTCACAATACAAACATGGTACCCTATATAAATTTCCCTCATCATATCTTTTGTCTTCGGAGTCAGATTATATTTGACTAGCAGACCTCGCAAACGTTGTTTTGCAATATACATTGTTTCTATAATATATTTTTTTCAGTTCAATATTCATCACTACACTATATATCATTATTTTATTTTCTACTTCTTTTTAGTTTCGCTATCTATATGAAAGCGTGTTTCCTAGTTTTCCAAACTACCATTTATTTCAACTTCTTTTTAGTTCACTTGAATTTTCCAATTATGACGAAAGAATCTTGAATTCCCGAATTTTGTCGAAGGAATCATAATTTTCGATCCCGACAAAGCCTACTCACAAATTTTGAATAAAATCGGTATATAATTACAAATCTCGTCCGGAATATTGGTTCCGAATTACGCCCTTTCCAAATTTTGACAAAAGTATCATAATCTCCGACCCCGAAAAAACCCAGATAACAATAATTTTGAAGAGAGTCGGATCATAATTACAATACTCGTCTGTCATATTGGGTCCGCCATCTTGAATTTCCTAATTTTGACGAAAGAATCATTATGTCTGACCCCGAGATCCACCAGATACCAAATTTTAATAAAATCGGATCCTAATTATAAAATCCGTCATTTTGGATCCGCCATCTTGAATTTCCTAATTTTGACGAGAGAACCATAATCCCCGATCACCAAAACCCCTAGGTAAATATATAATCAGTTGCTTCATTATGAAATTTTTATTACTATTTATTCATCAGGTATGCCTGAGTCTTGTGTTTTGTTAGTTAATCAGAGTTGGTATTGTTTTAGTCCTCTTCATGATGGGAAAATCAAAGGAAATATTCCTTCAATTGGAACTTTTTTTATATAAAATATGCATAGCCTACTATTAAAATTCAATGTTATAGTGTTTTGGAGTGTGTTTTTAATACATTACATATCATTTCGAAGGAAAAATAGAGGAATTCAATGAGCACATTGAAAAATCAAAAGTTTGAGTAGTATCTCCAAAACTATCCCCAGTAGCACACAATCTTGGCTGGGCATTGGCCCTATATTGGCCCAATATTGCCAATATCGGGCCAATATAGAGCCAATATCCAGCCAAGATTCGTGCTACTGGGGATACCATGAAAAAACAATGGGTCCGCCACTGGATTCTGCATGAAATTCTCTATGGAATATATATTTTAGTTTGACATTTGCGCTGAGGAACTACGTAGATATATAGGGGGTCAAAATCACCCTGTATCTCATAAACGGAAACAGTTATACAAAATCTGTTTAGACCATCTTGAGTTTCACTGAAAAGTGGCAAAACACTGCGAAAACCGCAAGGTTCTTTCTTCAACAACATGAGGATGCGGGACTCAGGAAACTGGGCAAATGAAGGGACAATAACAGGACATGCAAAAATAGCAGAGTGGGTGGAGCAGGAGATTCCTATCTCTACTCTCAGAGTGAATAAAGTGCAGGACAGGCTGAGATGGAATAGGAAGTTCAAACTAATTATTCCAAGCAGAGAAGAATGGAGAAACAAAACAGTGGAGTTTCGCCCAGGAAGCTTAGTCCCGTCTGACTGACAAACAGACCTCGGGCGCAGGGATCTATATCGAAGGAAGAAATATACGAGAAAGGTACGCTTTAGGAGAAAACACCACAGTTTTCCAAGCTGAGGTGTTCGCCATCCTGGTCGTAGCAGAGAGGCATGAGGTGGAAGAGGGACCAGAGCAGAAGATCTACATCTGTTCGGACAGTCAGGCAGCACTCAGGGCTATCTGTCATCCCAGACCAAGCTCAACAGGCATGTGGAAATGCCCTTGAGATTTTAGTAGAATCAAAGGGAGTTGAACTGTTATGGGTCCTGGGTCACAGCAGACGAACTTGCTAGGGCCGGATCAGCGGAGCCGTTTCTGGGACCAAGGCATAGCGAGGAGTCAAATTACGTCAGTCCTCGATGAATGGGCGGACAGGGCACTAGGAGAATACTGGAGGAATATCACAGGTTGCAGGCAGGCCAAGGAATCCATGGCCGGTCCAAGCAAATCAAGGATGGAGTGGCTGCTCGGCAGAGACGGCCAAGTACTCCGCCTCCTCATAGGACACAACAGGCTAGGTAGACACCTATCACTTATAGAAATAGAGGACAACCCCACTTGCCGCAGATGCGGGGAAGACGAGGAAACGTCACCTCATTTCCTTGGCGAGTGCGAGACGTACGGAAGGCTGAGATTCGAAATCTTTGGAGTAGACAACTCTTGACTTGATTATATCAGAGTGGGCTTCATCAGAAGGTCAGGGAGATTCGTAAAGGAAATCTAGGTGAATAAAGCGTAGATATGTGGAGAGCAGAGGTTAGCAAAAAGGGCTCATCGGGGCCTACTTGCTTGGCTACAGCCTCCCCACCTACTACTACTACTACTTCTTCAACAACAACCGAGATACTTAGCTGTCTTACCCAAAAGGAGGTGCACTGTACATCAGAGCGTATCTGATTAATAGAGAAAAGTATTTTGAAAAAACCAGTGGCCCCTAGTGCCGTTTCCCCCCTTTGGTTACGCCTCTGTGATGAGGTGCCATCTTCATTTATCTGATAATTATTTAGTCATTATATCGACAAAATTGGATTGATTAGATTTTCAAGGACAAACATATCTCTCTATTGTCTGTTTTCAAGTGCTACGCTAGAAATCAGATTACAAAAATATGCATATATGATGTTACATTATGAGTGAACTTGTATGCGAAGGTTGAGAATGGTTTTCGTGAATTTCAACATTTGACCATTTCATGAGATCAGAATGGATCACATAATTGCAAAAAGAGGTGAGCAAAAATTTTTCTGAAATAATTCAAAAAGTACAATAATTATCTTTGTGAATGCATTTAGTACAGATTATTTTGTATATTTTCAGAATCGCTTCTGTCGATAGAAACAACGAGGAAGTCATTGGGAATATCCAGTATAACCTCGAAATCTGAGCCGAAAGATGCCTTTTATATATGCCGAATTTTGTTCATGTTCATTGGCTTCATGCATCTCATGCCAATATTATTTTTGGGCTCAGCTGCTAACGTAAGTTTTTCCATCATTCCACATGAACTATTTCACTTTTCAAAGGTATATATGAATATGGCATCTGATCTTTCTCTATCTTTCAAGTACTGGTTCTACAAATTCAGGAATACCACCCTAGATACCGTCGACCCTGAGGTCAGGACAGACCTTCAAACCCTTTACCAGTCATCGTCTACGGTCGCTCAAACTCTACCATCATTGGGTTTCATGTTCCTGACAACGATTTTTGGACACAAATTCCAACCAAAATATTTGACAGCGGGCACTCTCGTCTGTTTGATCGGTATTTTTTCTATATTCGCCATTTTCACCCAAGTCGACACAGACAACTGTAAGTATTATGACAATGAATTTGACACACAGTTACCCCTTACTGTTGGATGACAACATGACTTACCTACCTTATTTTGTAGGGCAAACAGCATTTTTCTTCACCACAATGTTCCTTCTGGTAGTGAATAGCGGTAAGTCGAGATATTGAGGTGAAAAATGTGACCTTGAAATATGCTGGTCGAACCAGAATTGAATATCTATGGACCATTGCATCTGAAAGATTCTATCAACACATACATAATTCTCTCAACCATGCACTCGATATGGAACCTACCATTGTTCACTCTTTTTCAACGCGTAAAGTTCTGATGCGAGATTCGCAGGAATGGCACTCGACTCGTAAAAGGTATTTAATAACGACTTGTCATAATGATGTCATGGTCCTGGCTACTAGATTTTAATTGAATTGAAAAGAAGTGCTTTCATAGTGACAATAGGTCCATGATTCAGTTCCATTTGAATTTATCGCTAGTGAGAAATTGATATATCACCTTGGCACACGGTAAAATGTGAATGATTCAACTCTCTAGTTATTAGTATATTATAATGTGATTACTTCAATTCAATTCTAAACTGATTGGCGTGGTTACTCTATGTATATCCACGTATTTACTTATTTCACTATCCACTAGACTGAACGATCTGGAACTGTATATAGATTGATATATTTCATGAAATAGAGTGAATTGAACAATGATAAAGTGTCAATTCAATCGACAAGAGCATGGAATATATAGAGTGAATTCAATACGGGATTAGTGGAAATTCAATCAAGTATCAGTTCCAAAATAGATTATTAATATAGAGTTGATGCAGTATGGAACATTCAGATTCACCATAGTGTCAGTAATAAATACTAGTATGAGTTCAATTCCAATTGCTTGTTAATGGAGTAATCTGAATTGATATTCCATTGAAATTTTAGGAATATAGAGTGAATCCGATACGGGATTAGTGGAAATTTAATCTAGTATCAGTTCCAGAAGAGATTATCTGCGAGAAGTGTACATAATATAGAGGTGATGCAGTATGGAACATTCAGATTCACTATAGTGTCAGTAATTTATACTAGTATGAGTTCAATTTCGATTGTTTGTTCATGAAGTTATCTGAATTGATATTCCATTGGAATTCCAGGAATATAGAGTGAATTCAATACGGGATTAGTGAAAATTCAATCTACACTGGAAAAAAAGTTGAGTGGAATTTCACTAAAAAATTTCATTCAGTAAATTCACTCATTACGACATATGCAGTCACTCAAATGAATTTTCTACATAGTATTGGTTTCATGAGAGATAATCTGCGAGAAGTGATGTATACATATAAAGTTGATTGCAGTATCAGAGTGAGTTTGCCAGAGTACCTATTTTAACTCTGAAAACATAGTCTGTGAATTCAACTCGAAGCGTTTTTTTCACTGTGTATATTCAAGAATATTATTATACCACAGCGACTTATATCCCTCGGCTGGCGCCTTGTAATATAATCTTGGTCCCTCTGGATAATAATGATGTTCTTTTCTACCTTGGAGTATAAATATAACTATGTTTCAGCTGTTGTAGCAATCTTCCAGTTATCTACGCTAGTCATCATAGCAAAGTTTCCGAACGACTACATGAAATCATTTCTATTCGGTCAGAGTGGAGGCATAGTTTCCAACATCATTCTAGTCATCTCAATCTCTGTGACCGACTACCAACCAACCTCAGCTGCCATATACTTCATCGCGGGTGTGATAATGATAGCGATTACCTTCGTGCTGTTCTTGATGGCGCTCTTCACTGAACCATACAGGGTGTACGTTGTAGAAAGTACAGAAACTGGAGATACTGGGACCCGAAAGATAAGCTGGAGTGAAAGCAAAGAGGTTCTGAAATGTATCTGGCCTTCCTCTGTTCTCTTTGTCTTCCTGATGTTAGCAATCTCTTGTATACACCCTGCAGTTGATACCTTGGTGGTTTCCGAGTTTCAAGGCGACGGAACTGTATGGACTGGTGAGTACCAACAACGCTCAGTCTATTCGTCTTTTCACCAATAGCTATACGAGGTGTTTTTGAAATAAGTACATATATTCAGCACATCAATATGATACAGTCCAAAGAATATTCTCATGATATAAGATTTGTTTTAATCAAGTACGCCACAACAATTTAGATAATTGAACTCCGCGTGATTGTGCCTTCCGCACGAGAGTTTGGACAGAGATGACGTCAGAATTGCTACAGTCTAGAAGTTTGGGTGGTAAAAGGGGTTTGATCCCATATTTCATTCTGCTCCCTATATGTTTGTTATTGATGCCATTTCATAGTATACGTCAAGCTTTCTCAGGATTTGAAATATTTGCACTTATTTCAATGACACTCTGTATATTCTCTCATTATTTACCCTATCTCAAGGCTCAAAGTGTGTCTTTTCTACCAAGGTTGTCTTCGTTATTTGAACTACTATAGTCAATAAATACATATAGCCACCTTTCACCAGCATTCACTGTTCTAATACAAGATTCGTACACCGAGAAAAATCCAGTTATACAAGTACCTATTCAAAAACATTCTATAACTGCTAAATGGACAATTAAACCAGGAAATGTTATACCTATGTAATGAACGTAAAAAGTCAACGTTTTCAACGTAGAACATCAGGTCACCTTTTCAAATCACTCTTTTTGTTTTGAAAAGGTAACCTTGTAGATTTGAAATGGAACAAGATTATAGTTAAAAGATGAAATTCAAAAGATAATCATTCGAATCCTGAAAGATGTCATTTCACAGTTATACAAGTATCATTCAAGTTCCATCCCTTCTTCATTTACCATCTGTGTCATACTCATACCACAATGAGTCATCTCACTCGCACTTATGAACACTTGTTTCACTAGAATCGTTGGTCGTCTACGCGTACCTGATATGTAAGGATATATTAGCAGCTCGTGACCCCTTCTTACAAAGTTATGAGTTTTTTTTACCAAAAAGTGAGGTGTTTTCACGATGATTCGGTAATTTATCGGAAATTCTTCCAATTTGGATGACATTTTGTATTTTTAGACTAACTCACTATATACTACAGTGGCAAAAGCTTGGATTTTATTGCGCATGCAGTGTGTCCAAGATAAGTATGTCTTCGTATCCTTATCTTCGACACGGTGTATTCGTATTTATTTTATTCGTGAGTATAATTCCATTTGCTGCTTTGAAAGTCACGACCATTCTAGCCAACAATTCATCAGAAGAAATGAAGGTTTTTCGTTTCCGTTTCGTGATTCGTGAACCCTTATTTACTGACGCCACCGTGTACATTTTTGGCGACTATGTTAACTAATAATCCAAGGTAGTGACAAGAAGAAAGAATACTCCAAATTGGAAGCATTTTTATCGTAGGCAAATTGAGAAATTGAGAAAGTATACCGGGTGGCTACGGAAGTATTGCCTAAGGAATATCTCAGTTATTGTATGAGGTAGGTTTGTGAAATTTGGAGCGTCGATATAATGACATAAGAGCTGGAATTTGAGCATATTGACATGTCGAAGTTAACTTCCGGTCTGACCGGAAGTAACATCAACTTTCTTATTTTGAATGGATACCCTATTTCTTTTACTTTTCGCTTTATTCAGCATTCAATTCCCTTTCTTATGACATATCACAAGTTGGTATCTAACCAGAAACTAGATCAGAAAAAAATTATTATTGAAATTCACCGAGTAGGCCGTGGAAACAAAATGAAAGCCAAAAATTTAAAAGTTGGCGATGGAAACCATACGTCACTTGATAACAGTTGCAACTACTGTGATATTTTTTTTTTATTCGTCGGCGTTATAAAAAGCCGCCAAAAAAAATATTGGGAAAATTGGGAAAAAAACAATACTCTGTAGGTCCATAACTTAAATAGGAACATACAACTTTTTCTTACATGAAAATATCACCAGAGTCAATAAATGTATTGACGCTGAAGGAATGCATTTCGAACATTTGTTTTGAATTTATTTTATCTTCAATCCTATCAATTTGATTTTTTTTTTCGATAAATCTGTTTTTTTGTTACCTATTTGAAGAATAATAATTGGAGTTTTTGGTATTTCATTTCAAAAAATGACTTTTTATTATATCATTAGAAAGGAATGGTTATGCTGAATAGTACAGGTAAGAAAAAGTTGTATGTTCCTATTTAAGTTATGGACCTACAGAGTATTGTTTTTTTCATAATTTTTCCAATATTTTTTTTGCGGCTTTTCATAACGCCGACGAATGAAAATAAAATATCACAGTTATCAAGTGACGTATGATTTCCATAGCCAACTTTTCAATTTTTGGCTTCCATTTTGCTTCCACGGCCTACTCGGTGAATTTCAATAATATTTTTTTTCTGATCTAGTTTCTGGTTAGATACCAACTTGTGATATGTCATTAGAAAAGGGATTGAATGCTGAATAAAGCGAAAAGAAAAAAAACTAGGGTTTCCATTTAAAATAAGAAAGTTGATGTTACTTCCGGTCAGACCGGAAGTTAACTTCGACATGTCAATATGCTCAAATTCTAGCTCTTATGTCATTATATCGACGCTCCGAATTTCACAAACCTACTTCATACAATAACTGAGATATTCCGTAGGCAATACTTCCGTAGCCACCCGGTATATACTAAGTAGATATGTCTTCATAATATTGCTCGAGGATCTTCATTTTTCTGTAAAAATATCACCCTGATACTGAAATACCAATCATTCAACTATTGAATTGAAAGCAAATTATATTGATGTGAGTAATATTTCATTTTCATAATATCACCATTTAATATTGAAATTATGGACTTGATAATAGTGGATATATGAACTATGCTGGCGCCTATTCAAATCAGAAATCTTTTGAAGGTTATACAGTTTCGTATACCAGCTAATAGATATTTCTCTGCGTGTAGGAATTGCACTTGAATCCAATAGGTATTCATCAATACTTGTCATATTATGCTGTCATGGTCATGGCTACTAGATTTCAATTAGAATTGGAAAGAAGTGCTCCCATGTATAAAAAATTCCATAAACCGCTGTGATTTTGTCAGTATGACGGCAAAAAAAGTTTGCCTCAAGTTTTCCAGCGACAAATCGGAACCTAATTTTTGAAACCAGAATTCTAAAAAAAATTTTGTAATCACGACAGCGAAAATACTTAGTTTTGAGTGTTCCAGCGACTAGACGCAACGCAACTGTGACGCAACCTTACATTTGAAACCATGACAACCAGAATTGTAAACGAATCTTGATGGCATTTATGTAAATTTTTCCCAATCTTGCGTCATCAGAAAAGTATTTTATCTGTGGAATGTCGCGATTTGGAGTCTGCGAGTAGAAACATTGGAAAACAATCAACAATAGTGTGATTCACGTATTCATTAAATTGTCCTACAGAATTACACTCGAGCATAATTTTTGAGTCATAATAAACTCGAAATTTATAATTGGAGTTTTGCAGTCTTCACTCACGTGTGAACGAATCTTGATGGCTTTTATTTAAATATTTCTCAATCTTGCATTATCAGAAAAGTATTTAATCTGTGGAATGTCGCGATTTGGAGTCAAGTATTCATTGAATTTCGTTGCCGAATTACTGTCGAGCATTATTTTTGGGTCGAAGTAAACATGAAATTCCCCTCAGGGCATCACGACTTGTATGAAGTACCGGAAATACAATCCCGAGGTACCCTACACAGAAAGAAAAAACTAGGTTAATATTGAAAAAATCACCTCACATATTACAGTCTGTTAATTCTATGATCCATTTCTTTCAAAATCCCAATATGGATTCTTTAATATTTAGAGAAATCTCGGTATTTCGAAAGAAATTTTCTTTAGTTGTGATAAAATTTATTTTTTCCAACAACATAAAATTTCTCTACATGTTACAGAATGTTTTGATAATAATGAAATGAAGTTACAGCATGTGTTCATTATATTTAAAGAAATATCTATCATTACAGAAGACAGTTCTGTACACTCAAAAGAATAATGCTGAAAGTATAAAATAGTTCTGTATCATTGAAATAATTATTTCTGCAATCCTATGGAATGTAATCTTGCAGCATTGAAAGCATTGGGGGAAATGAAAAATTGGCAAAGCCTCTTCCTGAATTTTCTATAAAAGAATCATTCTTCTCAGTCGTCTTGGAGTTTTTCTGCAAATAGTCAGTATGGTTTTCCGCCAATATTCAGTATGATTTTCCAAGCAGCAATTTCAACCTGAAACAAAATGAAATTAGTATGAAGCAATATCAAATAGGTATTACATTTATCAATATACTTGGTTCATCTAAAAGATATAAAATATCATCCACGATTGATGATAGATATTATGGAGCTTTTTATCGATATAATATTTATGTATATAACTACTTTAGGATGTATAGTTACTTACCAATAATTGTTCGAGTGACGATTTTCTACAAAGAATTGATGCCTCTAGTATTGATATTTCATCAATTCTTCTAGGCGTCTTGGAATATTTCTAAGGACATCCAGCTCCATTTTTCTAAAATATCTTCCAGGCGTTTCCCGTCTTTCATGAGTAACCTGAAACAGAGTAAAATAGTTAACCTCTTTTGTCTGATTGTCGATTGTCTGACGAATGAATATAACATTATATAATCATTGGTAGTAGATACTCACCAGAACGATAGAAAATTTTAACAATTCACACACTTGTTATAATTGCTGATGTTTTCACAACACAAAATGCGAAATATGAATGGGGACTTGAGGAGTGCCAGGAGCAATCGATCTAAAAATAGGTTTGCCCTGATTGGATGGAAATGACATCATGTCCCAAACGTGTCTGTAAATGGAACAAAACTGAAGCTTCGAAACATGTCCCCCTTTGAATTGATATTACATTAAAGTATCGTTTTGGTGGAGTAGACTGTATGAATTTCTCCTGTCCTATGGAACAAAACTATTTGTTATATACACAGAATATTTTTTCAGCATAATCACTGCATTTAAAGTTCTATTAATATTATAGAATTATTTGTGAATTTGAGAAATATTCATTTTTTTGGCAATTCTAATGAAATATTTCATTTTTCTGAAAAATAAATCTGTTATTAGTATAGAAACCTCACGAAATGAATGGCACAGAATAAACAACGATATTAACAGTATTTTCTGTATTTTCACATGAACTGTTTCTATGAATATCAAAGAACATAATATTATCGTAAATGATATAAAAATGATTCCTAAACGGAAACACACACTAACAGAAATTAATTCTAACATTAACAAAAATTATGTTCAATTCTTTATTTTTCTTGATAATTTTTATGTTAATGATATAGAAATTCTGTTACATTGGCAAAATGTTTTGTTAAATTCGTTACAGAACCCATTCTGTTGATAATACCAAATATTTTCTTTCTGTGTAGCCGGAAACTCAATAATCTTCAACTTTTTTTTTTGTGAACATTGAGGTCTTAATGATCGTTAAGTAAAATGACAGAATTGTTGAGGTTGTTGGTTTCTATTGATTGAAAATGATTGAGTTTCATTCCTTTATTTTCTACGTGTAGAATTTCGAAATTATCATCGAAACTATGGTTTTCTTTCAATATATGGTTGGAGTATGTTGAATTTATTTTCTTTTTCAAAAAAATCGTCTTATGTTCATGAATGCGCTGATTCAACGTACGACCTGTCTGACCGATATATACCTTAGGACAAGATCCACAGTTTAGTTTGTATACTCGTGATTTTTCAAATTTAGAAGTTTTGTCTGTATTATTCTTGATAAACCTTCCCAACGTGTCATTTGTTCTATATACTACTTTAAAGTCATGTTTATGTAGAAATGTGCTAATGGCGGAAAATAGTTATGATCTATAAGGTACAGATCCGACCTGTCCTGGAATACTGTTACCATATTTGGAGTGCAGACCCGAACATACTCTGAAACTGTTGGATTCTGTCCAAAAAAAGGTAATTCGTCTCGTGGGTGATGCCTCGCTCACAAACTCACTCACTTCTCTGGAACACCGTAGAAAAGGTGGCGATCTGGCTCTATTTCATAGATATTTTCATGGACGATGCTCTACTGGAATATCAACAATTGTTCCTGCCTTGGTAGTCGAGCTGAGGCTTCGCACCCCTTCGTGTTCACTTTGGAGACTTGCAGAACATCTCTTTCCAAAGACTCATTCATCCAACGAACAGCGAGGCTCTGGAACATATTGCCAAGGGAGGTGTTCCCCGAGGCATATAACCTCCAGAAATTTAAGAAGAACACCAATTCCTACTTTATTTCAAGGATTTCGCTTTTTGTGGGAACGAGAACATAAACAAAATTTTAACCTAAAAGAGTAAGGAATATCACAATTACCCAGGGGCCTAGATGTCTTTATTGCCTATAGTATAGGTCACAAAATGGCGAGAATTCCCTTCGTAGGAAAAAACCACGTATTGTCTTGAAAAGGAGTAAATAATGTTAGGTGTATAAATAATTATTTTTGATGAGATGACTCTTTTTTGCAGAAAAGTACTTCGTACCTGTGATAACTTACCTACTGGCTGATGTATCGGGGGTCTTGGGGAGATTTTTCTCCACAAGTTATAGAATAACAGTACGGAATCAACTTTCCTCAGAACATATCACCTTTCATACAGCTTTATTTTCCAGAAAACTAACTACCTCTATTGGATAATTGGAGGAGTTATAAGATGTGTTGTTTGTGTGACGTTCATTATATTCTGCAATGCTCAGCCTAGACATCTACCAGTTATATTCAACCATGACTGGGAGTACATTTTATTCAACATTATTTTTCCATTCTCCAATGGGTTCCTATTCAACGTTGGCTTCCTTAGTTTGAATGAGTAAGAATCTCATGTTCATAATAATGTATTATTATAATTTCAGGATGTCTGATGTGCTGATGATGAGATGATTTAATCGTTTCAGGTTATCTGAAGGCAAATCAGAGGTTGCTTTGAAACTGAGTAGTGTTATCATAGCTGTATCATCTTCTGTTTTTTCTGCAAATGGAATACTAATGGTGAAGCTGCTGTAAAATTCATGAGTAATGGTGATTTTCCAAAATACCTTATTCCAACCATGAATTTCAGTTACGTACAGTGGCGTTACTATACAGGGTGGCAAGTTGGCAAAATGCCACAGGCTCCCAGTCAAAGGAGAATCCCAAGTACCAACACTTATTATGACACATTTAGTATATCAAAAATATGTTTTGTCTTTAATTTATTGAAGTTACCTACTTATTTATAATAAAGAATTATTTTATATCTTCGAGCTTTCCTGTTGAAGTGCACACAGCATTTCTCAGTGCATATCTGTAATTTCTCTCCATTCATGTGACCAAAGCTAGTGCCGAGCGATCATTCTCAAAACTGAAATTGATGGAAACCTATTTAAGAAATTCTATGGGACAAGGAATGTGAAGCAACTTAGCTATTCCGAGGGGGTTACCACTAAGAAAATGCGTGAAACAGGTCACGAAATGCCATTTCTGAAATACCATGAAATACCTTGAAATCCTTGAAATGCTTTGAAATTTCTTGAAATGCCATGAAATGCCATGAAATTCCATGAAATGCCTTGAAATGCTCTGGAATATTTTGAAATAACATGAAATTAAATGAAATGCAATTTCTGAAATACCATGAAATGCCTTGAAATCCTTGAAATACTTTGAAATTTCTTGAAATGCCATGAAATGCCATGAAATTCCATGAAATGCCTTGAAATGCTCTGGAATATTTTGAAATTACATGAAATTAAATGAAATGCAATTTCTGAAATACCATGAAATGCCTTGAAATCCTTGAAATACTTTGAAATTCCTTGAATTGTCATGAAATTCCTTGAAATGCCATGAAATTCCTTGAAATGCCATGAAATATTTTGGAATGACATGAAATAAAATGAAATGCCATTTCTGAAATATGTAGCATGAAATGCCTCGAAATCCTTGAAATATATTGAAATGCCATAAAATGCCTTGAAATGCATTGAAATGCTTCGAAATATTTTGAAATTACATGAAATATAATAGGATCCTATAAGAAAATGGAACGAAATGTTCTGAAATCCTTAAAATGCTTCGAAATACCTTTAAAGTCATGAAATGAAATGAAATGCTTGGAATATCACGAAATGGTTTGAAATGATATTTTAGTGATTTGTCATGAAATGGCTTGGAATGCATTCGAGTGGCTTGAAATCTAATAAAATGTCAGAATAAAATGCTTCAGATACCTATACCAATAACGTATGGAAATGGATGAAATCTCCGAAATCTAGGATGAAATGGATTAAATGCATTCTGAAATGGATGAAATGCAACTTTCAACAACACTTTTTCTGAACAGAAAGACCGAAGAAAGGAATTTCAATAATCGAAATTATGTACTAGGTTGAATTACGATTGTGATTTCAGTTTGATATTTACTTTGAATTAGGTACCTTTACCTTTAATTTGAAGTGAATTATTAGAAAATTATTAGAAAATAATTTTGTATGTATCACGTAATGATTTATTATCAAACTCTCACAAGTAAAAGTGTATATAAATTGTTCTAAATTGTTCTAAGATTGTTTTAAAATTGTTCCTATATCCATCATTCGGTTGCTCGCTTACGAGCAACTCTCGAAAGTCTTCAAGAGACTTGTGCAAGCAAGGAATAATGTGTGATTCTAAACATCGTGGTGGGAATCGAACCGACCAACCGGCAATCCAATGTGGATAGGATACTGACGCTTCAACCACGAGGCTACACTAGTCCCCATAAATAAGTATTATGAAATAAGAAGTACAATATTCTTCTTAATATTGGGGGGTAGTAGGGGGGCATCGGATGAATTTGTCACGGACCCTTACGTATTCATTAAAATGTGAGGAAATTTGAATTATTTCCAGCCAAGGTATTCGAGATTCATCATAAATAGAGCATAATATAATACAGGTCATGTGACGTAAAAAAGCAGAATGTGACAATTTAACACACCGTAGGGTGTTGGTCCTTCCAGTCATATTAATTATAAAAATGCAAACATTAAACCACAAATGTGAGTCTGGACAATAGAAACCAGCATGAAAATCCTCAAAGTAAATATGGGATAATGCATGTAGGCAAACAAAAAGTCTGGAATAGTGAGAACAGCAAACAGTGTTAGTTCCCCGAAAGGCTGACAGTTGTGACATACGAGGGAGATAAAAATTGTCAAGAGAAGATTATTAAAATAAAAATATCTGGGTAATATGGTATGTAGTGAATTGGTAATGAAATATTCAGGGAAGATCGAAATGAACGATTGTTTATATTCAATTCAATCTCAGTTGATATTGATCTTAGAAGACCGTTTAAGTGGGAAAACTCCAGATATTTCCTATCGATGCGTATTATTCAGAATTCAGTAGTAGGAAAGGCGAAATAGTATCATAAACCAAACATTTTACAAGGACTGGTATTTTTCATATGGAACACCCGGTTTCTCCTTCTGATTTAAGATATATATACTCTTATTTGAGGTTATCTCTGTCAGTTCTCGAAAAAATTAGACTCTATCGTGCATGAAATTTTCTTGCTTCATTTACAGAATTATCAGACATTCAATTGACCAATTAGATTCGATCCAGAATTTCGAGGGGCGTACACATCGAGCAAGTCGGCTTTTTGTGTGGAAAAAAGTCACCTTGTATTTTTTACAATTCATCCGACATCGTACTTACAATCATCATCGTCGCAGTTGAAAAAACTGCATTGGCTTCGAAGATGTTTTTGTTTTTTGTAACGATATATATGTATTTGATATCATCGAACTTAACCTCTTCATGAACCACAACTCTAAGCTGATCTTAGAAAGTATCCTGCCTCCCCTCGTATTTGATACAGACATCGAAATCTCTAACTCGGAACTAACCTCTGGGATACGTTGTTTATTTAGAGCTGACAGTTGTTTGAATCCTGCATGATGGATCTACTGACGTAGTCGTAGTTCATCCCTTCAGGGAACAATGAATAGAAAATGTGTGACTTTGACTTGCTATTCGTATGGTGGAGAATACAGTCTTGTAGGTTTTGTTTATCTCTTGGAGCGCACTAAAGGAAATTCTTATAATGTTCGTGGAACATCGCCCGTTCCTAGAGAGGACTGATGGAGGAGGTAGGTGTTGGATTTTTTTTGAACTTTTGGAGGTTATAAGTTCTTGGGAATACTTTCATTGGCAAAGGATTCCAAAACTTCGCAGTTCTATACTATACACGAATGAGTTTTGGTAGAGAATTGTTCGACATATTTCAAGCGTACTGGGCCTGTCGAGTTCGTCTGACTGGCATTGCCAGTGATGGAATTATAGCTCCCATGAAAAGAGATATCCTGTAATGTTCAGAGAACATCGTGAGAACCAAGAGAAATAAGGTAGGAATTCGTGTTCTTCTCAAATTTCTGTTAAATGCCTCGGGAAACACCACCCTTGGCAATGCGTTCCAGAGCCTCGCTGTTCGTTGGATGAACGAGTCTTTGGAAAGAGATGTTCTGCAGGTCTCCAAAGTGACCACGAAGGGGTTAATCTCGCGGGGACTGCCAAGAGAGGAACAATTGTTGATATTTCAGAAGAGCATCGTCCATGAAAATATCTATAAAATAGAGCCGGATCGCCAACTTTTCTACGGTGTTCCAGAGAAGTGAGTGAGTTTTTGAGCGAGGCATCACCCACCGGACGAATTGCCTTTTTTGGATAGAATCCAACAGTTTCAGGGTATGTTTGGGTCCTGCACTTCAAATATGGGAACAATATTCCAGGACAGGTCGAATCTGTGTCTTATACATCATAAGCAGCTGACTGGAAGTGAAATAGCTCCTGACCCGAAACAGAAAACCAAGTTTTTGGGATGCATTTTTAGCAATCGATATCACGTAATTTTCCCAAGAAAGGTTATTGCTGATAGTAATACAAAGTATCGAAATGGTTGTCTTCAAAGGTATGGTCACTCCTGACAAGCTTATGTTGGGCACAGTGAGATCGGATTTTCTAGAGAAAAGACATGCTTGTGTTTTGTTTGCATTGAAATCCACCAAGTTATGGTACCTCCATTCGAGAATTGTTGTCAAGTCCATATTTATGTTGTCAAAATTTCTCCCTCCTTCGTTCCTGATTTGCCTGGCTGGTATTGGAGCCCTGGAAGAGAAGGCGGAATAGAGGGTACTATCATCCGCGAAGCTGTGTACTGGACATGAAGTTGCTTCCAACAAATCGTTGACATGGAGTAGAAATAGTGTTGGTGCTAGAATTGATCCTTGCGGAACACTAGCATTTATGATAAGAGAGTCAGATGAAACTCCGTCGACCACTACATGGAGAGACCTGTTTGAGAGAAAACTAGCTAGCAGAGAACATCAGCGTATGTTCGGGTGCTGAACCCCATTCATGAGAACGGTATTCTGAAACTGGCCAGATCTGTGCTTTGTAGATCATGACAAGCTGTTGTGGTATAAAGTAGATTCTCGCACGGAACGAGAAACCGATTTTTTGTGAAGCAGCTTTTGCGATGGATCGAACATGATTTTCCCATGAGAAGGTTTTGCTGATGGTATTCCCGAGCATAGATATAGAGAATGGTGATACCGGAGATTGTTATATCAGGCAGACTGAGTTCCGCCGTCCTATATAGAGAAAATACAGGTTTGCGTTTTGGTGGCACTGAATTCAACTTTTGTTAGTTCTCCAGGCAAGATATTCATTGAGAGCTTTGGCATGCCTTCGTCGCAAGTTCTTATAGTTTCCAGGGATGGAATGGGAATTCTAGAAGACAACGCAGTATGGAGAGTACTTTCATCTGCAAAGTTGTGGATAGGGCATGTGGTTGCTCCCAATAGATCGTTGATATGAAGTAGGAACAATGTGGGTGCCAAGATTGATCCTTGTGGAACGCCGGATTCGACAAATTCTGTATTTGTATCTGGACTCAGAGTGGTATTTTGATGGAAAACGCACTAATCTTCGAAACTCAAGGTGGTGTTTAGGAAAATTATCAATGAATTTGTGGATACTCGGCGGGTGAACAAACTATCTATGAATAATTCAAAGAAAAACAGTCAACTCAAAGGCATTCATCGCAATTAGATAGAGGTCGAGCATTTCTACATAATGGACTGGGCTGTATGTTTGTAGACTTTCTGAATGTAATTCTATTGTTCCTCGGATACGACTTATGGGACGATGTTATCGGATCTGTCATATTTCTTCTAGGATTATAGCGTCGTGATTGCTCAAGTTATAT